TGCAGTGCGAAGATTTAAATGGAACAAAGCTCAGCCACGAGATAATACCAAATCGCAACGCATGCGAGAGCGAGAACTACACGTGGGTGAATTCAGCAATGAATTTCGATCATGTAGGTAACGCGTATCTGTGCCTTTTCCAAGTGGCGACCTTTAAAGGCTGGATACAAATAATGAACGATGCAATCGATTCACGAGAGGTAATGTTCTTCAGTTCTTTTCCCTTCCTCTTATTTTACTTGCCTACATATATACATATATACACTAGATATATATCTATCTATATATATATATCTATCCATTTGGTTATGCGCTTTAAAAAGATGAGCTAAACGCAATCCTATACAAAAATATAATAATACTCTCTCTCTATATTTATACATACGAATCTATAAGTATTTAAAGTAATTTTCAATTAATCAACATTTCTATCTATATATTTTTTTCTTCTTTTTTATATGAACTACAACTACAACAACAACAACAACACAATACAACATAACAACTAACTACAACTACTCTGGCCACCCACAACAACAACAACAAACTACACAACAACAACAACAACACTGCCGTATAACACTAAAAATGATCCATTCACAATAACCGCAAAAAAACTTCAACCGATGACAAAATTGCAAAATACAAAAAAAATTCAAAATGCAAAATCAAAATCAAAATCTCTATATCTATATCGCTATCGATATCGATAACCAGGTGGACAAGCAGCCGATTCGTGAAACGAACATCTACATGTATTTATATTTCGTGTTCTTCATCATATTTGGATCATTTTTCACACTCAATCTGTTCATTGGTGTTATCATTGATAATTTTAATGAGCAAAAGAAAAAAGCAGGTGGATCATTAGAAATGTTCATGACAGAAGATCAGAAAAAGTACTATAATGCTATGAAAAAGATGGGCTCTAAAAAACCATTAAAAGCCATTCCAAGACCAAGGGTAAGACAACAAAAAAAAAAATACCAAAAACAAACCAAAAAAATATCAAATAAATACTTCATAAAAAACAAAGCCAACTAATCAAAAAAAATCAAGAAAACAAAACTAATTAACATTAAAAAAAAACAATAACAGAAAAAAATCACAAAAATAACTTATCTGAATTATCGCAAGGAAAAACCTTAAAGAAAATAATGAAAAAATATTTAACTTTTGCAGTGCGAGCTCAACGATCAGACTTTCCATTTCCAACTCTATTTTTGACAAAAACTTTTCGAATTGGACGCACATCCAGTTCAAAATGCTCGGCTCAAATGCTGCACATAAAATGAATATTAAATGATATATCAAATATTTCCACATATATATATATAAATATATATATCTGAAATGAAAACATCAATAATCAAATAAATCAAAAAACGAAAGAAGAAGAATAGTTCGCGATCGCGTCATCTGTGCCAATCGTACTCAATTTGTATATATATATATTATTTTCCTCTATATATATACACACATATATATATATATTTTATGTATATATATATATATATATATACTTTTTTCTATGCGTTAACGAAAACTGAATACAATTATAACAATATTATAAACAAATACCGAACTGGACCGTAACGAACTGACGCCGACGCGACGAATACCCTTGCAAATCTGTTAACACAACTATTCAGCAATATATATCCAATCTCAAATCTCAAATCTCAAATTGATAAAGGCCCTGTTCTCTAGCAATATTTTGTTCAAGTTGAATAAATGGATCTTAAAACAAGCGCAAAGTCGAGTCGCTGGAATAGCTGCCGTAGTGTGTGGCATGCACAACCTGTAGAAGCCACAAGTCACATACACACATATGTGCATACACATGCATATGACTCCTCAGAGTGTGTGTGTGTGTGTGTGTGCAGCTGAAGCAGCTTGTGCATCGATCGATATTGCTGAGAGCACGCTACCGTTGCCATTGAGCGAACTCCTTAAAGTATATACTATGTTCTCGACATACTACTGTTTGTTTCTTAATAATAATACTTAATACTTCATTTCGATAACAATATTTAAGTATTGTGTCCGTTTGGTTGTCTGTACTTAAACATTTTTATGTCTGCCATTTGTAACCTAGACAAACATGAAATTTATGCCAAAATTCAAAAAACAATTCCAAAATTCTATGTATAAAAATGAATAAAAAAAAAAAACAAAAAAACAAAATCAATCTATTTATGTATATATGCTCTCTCTCTATTTCTCTTTATATATTTATAAATATATATTTCTCAATACACTCTCTCTCTCTTTATAAAGGCAATCTAAATGCATGTTTCCTCTACTCTCTTTTTTTGACTAAATATCAATTAAGTGGCACGTGAATCTGAGTCATGTTTTGGGCATGTTGTGTAGCGTTAGAAGACACAAATGAAATTATGTTAGACACAGCTAAGAGGCATGTTCCGATCAGCGATCAACGATCCAAAATTCAAGACTTAACGTCCCCCACCCCGGCCCAACGTACATACATCAAACTATCAGACCACGACAGTAGCAGCACGTTTTATACTAAATATACTCCAAACTGTACTCGAAACACCAAAAAGAACATACTTAATAATCAATTAATCAACTAATCAATTAATCAACTAATCAACTAATCAACTAATCAATTAATCAACTCAAATTATCAATAATCGATAATCAATTGTGAATGCTGTCTGTCCTTAAGATGTAGTGTGAATGACAATGGCTGCTCTCATATTAAGTAACAATTGCTGAATGATAATCAAAGCGCACCGACTCACTGTTACACTCTAACTTTAATCTGTTGCTCTATGTATTAATATGTTCGCACACACACGCAGGCACACCCGCTCGTGTGCGTGTGTGTGTGTGTTCCACGCATACTCTACTGTACATACAGGTGGGCGCGCGCTGATCATGGAAAAAAGATTGCTATTGGCACAGATCTACAACGCTAAATGCAGTTAGGCAACGATAAACGATATATCAAATCTAATCTATAACATATAACTAATACTAATACTAATACTAATACCAATACCAATACTAAAGCTAATACAAAGAAAAGCTAATCATACATTAAATACCAACTAAGTGTGGAGTCGGAGGACTCCGTATTAACTAGTTACATAAGTAGAGCCTATGTCCATGTGCATACATGGTGTTATTACATACATACGTATGTGTGTATGTATGTGTTAGTGTGTATGTGTACACAGCCATATACCTACACACAAGTAATTGCGATCGTGCTTAACTCAAATGTACTTATACCAAACTCTTCTATTTTCTTTTTTTCTTATCTCTCTTCTCTCTACTTTGGGTATCCACGACGTCATCCCAAAAAAAAAATACGAAAAAAAAACAAAAATAATTTATTTATTTTAATTTGATTTTCGATTTTTTTGATTTCGATTTTTGATTCCTCTCTCATTTACAGTGGCGTCCACAAGCAATAGTCTTTGAAATAGTAACCGATAAGAAATTCGACATAATCATTATGTTATTCATTGGTCTAAACATGTTCACCATGACACTCGATCGTTACGATGCGTCGGACACGTACAACGCGGTCCTTGACTATCTCAATGCGATATTCGTAGTTATTTTCAGTTCCGAATGTCTATTAAAAATATTCGCTTTACGATATCACTATTTTATTGAGCCATGGAATTTATTTGATGTAGTAGTTGTCATTTTATCCATCTTAGGTAAGTAAAAATGCCAAAAACATACCAATTTTCTTCTTACAAATACCAACAAAATACCAAAAATGCCAAAAAGCTTAAACAACTAGGCGAAAAAAACCAAAAAAAAAAACCAAACAAAAAATGATTCCAATCTCCAAACCAAAATGTACGAATATCCCCCCAACTCCACATAACCGTACGCTCTTGCTGTATGTGTGTATGTCTCTCTCTCTTTCTCTCTCTCTCTCTCTCTTACCATCTCTGTCTCTCTCTCTCTCTGTATTATTTTGTAACACAGAACGCTCCTTATTCCTCTATCTATATATAAAACATAAACTTTCTAATAATTGTTACTAACTTTGCTGTCGTATTTAAACGTAAAATGCAATTTCCCAACAAATATTCGTTTCAATGTTGATTCGTAATTCGTTATCGTAATTATTATTGTTGTTGTTCTGTTTCCAAGCAAAAACCGAAAACAAAAAAAGTACAAATTTACTAAAAACCAAAATCGTAATCTAATTTATGTGTTGTTGCTCGTTCACATAACCATTTGAGCTCTTTGGCAATTCCTACATGGACCAGACCTGTATACAGTCATGGCAAAAATAATCAGTCCATGTAGATTGGCAAATGTGCTAAATATTGTGTGAAACAAACTAAAGTCGTTGTGCTTAACGTATTCCAAATGATTTGTTAGCTTGTTTTTGTTTTAGTTTAAAGTTGACTTTGCTTTGAGTATAACAGTTAATAGTTGTTGTACCACTGCTTTTAACTGTTATACTAAGGCAAAGTATGTTCCAAATGATTTATTAGCTTGTTTTTTAGTTCGAAGTTGACTTTGCATTGAGTATAACAGTTAATAGCTGTTATACAAATGCTTTAAACTGTTATACCAAGGCAAAGTATGTTCTATATGATTTTTAAGCTTGTTTTATTTCGTTTGATGTTGACTTTGCTTTGAGTATAACAGTAAATAGTTGTTATACAATTGCTCTTAACTGTTATACCTTGGAAAATTATATTAAAAATTATTTGTTAGCTTGTTTTTGTTAGCTTAAAGTTAACTTTGCTAAGAGAGTATAACAGTTAGCAGTTGTTATACCACTGCCTTGAACTGTTATACCAAGGCAAATCCCCATTGCTTTCCGTTCGCCCTTTATAAATGTTGTTGGTTTGTTAAAAATTACATAGTTGATATATTTGTTGTATTTATTTATTCGAAATTTAAATGTGTAAAGATTAAATTGTTGAACTGATTCATGTATTGGTGTCCATATTTGTAATAATAAATTGTTGTTGTAACTGTCGTTAAAAATATATATTGAAATAATTCTATGATATTGCGAGTATTAACAATTACATTACAATTATTGTTTAATCTATTATAATATTACTTAAATCTTTTATTTTACAACTTTTTACTGCCAGCCTCGAGCTCGATCGACTCGATCGACTCGATCGTTTTTATTGCTACAGCTTAACAATCGCGCATACGTAAGCACACACAATCGAAAGCGAAAAGAACAAAATATGACAACAGCCCGGGCCAAGAAATTGGGAATACCTCAAAATGTGTATATTCAATCAAAGCCCCAAAGCCTCCCCCAGTTTTTGTTTACTTTTACTACTTCTTCTACTTCAACTTCTTTTCAATAAATTTTGGTTCGTTTTTGGATAAGCAACTAGGTAGATAACCCATATGGCTATGTGTGTCTGGACCAGACATCCAACAAATAAACTGTACAAAAGATGGCTTAAAATATGCTTTACTACATTAATATCTGCAACAGAGAGCTTCCATTTTATACTACTCCATGTACATAAAAGGGATGCTGTTATCATTTCTGCTGCTGCCTGCCCGTTGAAACTGACTAACGACAAATTCCCAGCCCGTGCGCTAGCCCCGTTTCTCAGCTGCTGACAAAACCCCCGTCCCCCTTTCCCCGAAGTCAGACTCAGACAGGCGATGCCCTGCCAATTACCCTGCATTTAAATATATATAAATCTGTTTTACTTTTCCTTTGATTATGATTTCGTATTCGAAAAAAGAAGAAGAAGACGTCGAAACTCGCTTCGATCTACTCCTAAGTAACCCGGCCGAAGTAAGCAGCCAGCAGGGCTAAGGCTGTTTTTTCCTTTTCTGTATTCATGCTTTGCTTCTTTATGTGACACACGCGCCAAATGTTTTCCAAGCGCACTTTCAATAAGTATTTTAAAACCTGTTTCAATATCAATTTTAATGCCAAACTCTAAAGCAAATGCTTGAAATTTTTTCAAACGCCTTAAAGTATGCTTCATTCTTTGGCTTCGATTGTTCGACCCCGAGTGATATCCTCATAGACGAATATATTAATACACGCTTTAAAAAGACCAAAACAAAACAAAACAAATTTACCAAAAGAAAAAAACTTAAAAAAACTACGCTTTGTAAATGCAAAATGAAAAAAAAAAATCTTTTGATAAAAAAAACGTAACAAATAAGCGAATAGCAAATAACAGCGACTTATCTAAATAAATAATAAACAAAAAATGCTAATCTATATCTACACACACACACACACACACACTCAAAATGGCTTGCACAAAACGCAAAAAAAAAGAAAGAAAAACGCAAATGAAAAGCTATTGATGAATAGAACACGATAAGATTCAATCAGAGTTAGGTGTCAACAGGCATTCCACAACTCTCAACCGATCTGTGCGATTGTCGGTTGCATAACTCTGTCAGCTACTGCCCGGTATAGAAATTTTGACCATTGTCAAACTCCATTCGCCGGCCAGCCAACGCATTGGCCGTGCGCACTGTTTAGCACACATGCGCGTACGACTGCTGCCTTGGCCCCAGCTCCTGGCCGACTCCCAATTTATAGTGTGTAGCATAACTGGTTGGATAACGTGACCCGTTTATGATTTAACTCCGCCTTTTATATGTTATGCGTATTGGCATTCAAGTCGAAAACGTACCCAGCTCGATACGAGCAAATACCGTGGCACTAGCCTGAATCTTCTTAATGGTTTTGGTCCAATCTGCAATGGAGATTATGTACTTTACTATGAACGTAGTAAAACGCATACTATATATTTAGCTAGATCTATATACCTGGTCAACCCGAAGACACCTCAGCAACTCCCGCATCGGGCCAAAGTTGGCAAAAAAAATAATATATATAGACGAAAATCTCATTAGTCTTAACTAGTTTTAGTGCTTATGATTTGACTTAATATGTGTACATATAAACAATATATATTTTTCTATTATTTTTTCTGGTTTTTCACGTTCCCTCCACTCTCTCGCTCTCTATCTGTCTTTCGCTCTCCCGCTCTCTCTTTCGTGAATTCGCTCCCGTTTATTGTTTTTTGTTAATTAGCCTGGCATTTGGCATAACGCATAGGCATTCAAAACTACTCGCTATGCTCTTCTTCTTATTTGACTCCATTTTACTATTTCAACCAATCGCAACAGTTCGTTTGTTCAGCCAGCTTTCAGTTGAGTTGTGTTTAGTGACTGCCCACTGCCCAGCTATCAGTTGTGTGTAGTGCTCCCATTTCCCTCTCGCTCACGCTAGTGCGCATTTCGTATCAACTAGAGAATGAGATGCCAATGAACACATTGTTTCAAAATTTCAATGCAGCTGTGCTGCTCTCGCTCCCTCTCCCTACTTTCTTGCTCTCTCATTCTCGCTCGCCTTCCGCTCTGCCCTAAAGCAAGCGCCATTGGGCGGCAAACGAACTTTTTGCTGATATTTGGCACTCTTAAAATATGCTTCGGATTATCGCTAAAAGTTAATGACGCTCACACATACCACTTACTATATATGTATATGCATACATAAAACTAAATATATGCATATATAAAGCCCGAACCAAATAATGAACAAAGTTAAACAAGAAAAAAACCAACAACAACTCAAAGATCTTATGTCAACGGTATGAAGACATCTCTAAAGACATGCGCCACGAGATGATTTTCGATGCCAACGCCCAACGCCCAACGCCCAACGCCCAACGCCTTCGCCTACGCCCTCGCCTACACCTGCGCATACGCCTGCTGCTGCTTTCAACGCCTCTGCGCTAGCAAAAAAAAAAAAAATACTAAAAAATATTTTTTAAAAAATACTAAAAAATGGATATCCTCTACTAAGTGTTGCTGCTTACTGTTTGCTGTTCAAGTTACAGTTAAAACTTACTTTTACAACTTTCTTTTCGTTTCGTTTCGTTTTTTCTCTCTCTCTCTCTCTTTTGTTTTACTCAACATACTCATGTCTACTATGTATGTATGTATGTAAGTTGTATGTCACTGCTGTATACCCGTACCTAAGAATACGTATATATAAATATCTGTGTGTATCCTATGTTCTTCGTGTTTTCCTTTTCATTTCTGTTTCGTAACGTAACGGTAACTTCTACTAACCCAGATATTGTATATATATATATATATCTTATGATTGTGTTCAAATGAAATGATTTGCACTACGCTTGGCACTATGAAAGTGAATACACTATGCATAGAGATCGTCCAGATATTGATCTAAGATATCTTTATGTATAGTCTATGGAACCTTATATGCTAAATGCTTGCTTCAAGTTTCGATTAATTTGCAAATAGTTAACAAAAAGATTTCTATTCTCTCGCGCTCTCACTTTCGCGAACTCCAAGAGCAGTTCTAACCTCACTCTTTTATGGCAGCGTTGCCATATCTTGTAAAGACTCTAGATTTCTGACTAGCTCAAAGAGTTTCCTCAACTGATTTGCAGCCTAATGCGAAGCTAAATGATCATTTCATCAGACAATTGTACATACTATATCTATGTCTATGTCTATATCTATATCTATATCTATATCTATATGTATTTGTATCTGTATTTGTATTTGTATTTGTATTTGTATATGATTTACTTATTTGTTGTTTGTGTAAGAGTCTTGTGTAAATCAAGCGAACAACTGCGTCCGTGTAATATTCCTAACGCTTTCAATATTTCAGCTATGTAAATTGTTAATATTCTGCTGCCCCGCCCCCCGACCCGCCCCTTCATTTAATTTGTGTTTCTTTTTTTAGTGTCTTGCTTGTGCAATTCTGATTGCGCCGCGCCCCTGAGCCTCCAACACACACAAAGCCCAACGCCCAACGCCCAACGCCCAACCACCCCGACCCGATCACCCCACCGTCCCCGTCCCCGTCCCCGCCGCCACCTCCGCCTGAATCCCCATTCTGAAACGAGCCCTACTCTAGTAACTGACTGCCATCAATAATTCTGAACACTCAATTTCTCAATCGACGCTCGCGCTCCGCAGGTCTTGTACTTAGCGATATTATCGAGAAATACTTCGTGTCGCCCACGCTGCTGCGTGTGGTGCGCGTGGCGAAAGTGGGCCGAGTCCTCCGTCTGGTCAAGGGCGCCAAGGGCATACGAACTCTGCTGTTCGCGCTGGCGATGTCGCTGCCGGCGCTGTTCAACATCTGCCTGCTGCTCTTCCTGGTGATGTTCATCTTTGCGATCTTCGGCATGTCGTTCTTCATGCACGTGAAGGAGAAGAGCGGCATCAACGATGTCTACAACTTCAAGACGTTTGGCCAGAGCATGATATTGCTGTTTCAGGTAAGCGTTTCTGCCACAATTCCGTTAACGGTTTATGTTGTCTATTGTTGTTGTCGTTGGGTGATGTTGCCACGCCCCCACACTAACACACAACCACCAACCACCACCACCAACCACCCAGCATAACCGCCCAGTGCAATGCGAGCGGTCTGGCAGGTCTGGCACCTGGCGTCGCACAGCCTTTGGCAACGCGCAGACAGACGAGCGATCTATCGATCTATCGATCCATCGATCTATCGATTGCGTTCCTTTCGACCTATGTTGCCACTTGCCGTGCGCGCCATTTTGTTTTAGTGGCAACATCACAATGTTGATTCAAGCTGCGGTAGTTGTTGGTAAAAGCTAAATTAGAGCGAGTTTTTTTCTCATTCACAATTTATTCACGTGACTTTTTCGTTCTCTCCCTCTGTCTCTCTCTCACCCTCACCTTCTGCCTCTCCCTCTCTTCAGTTTGGGCTTTCAGCAACTTCTTGAACAGCTGCTTGAGCTCATTTGAAGTTCCATTTTCCATTTTTATTTAGCCCTTTGGTTCTTCCCATTACATAAACTTATTCATTAAACTAATATTAAAAAAAAAAACAAATCTAATTCAGCTCTATCAACAAATACCAAATGAAATTTTGGAATTTCCTCATGACACAATGCAAAAAAAAAACAAAACTTTCGCGCGTTTTTCAACGCCACAAGAAATACAAAAACTACGCTACGCTCTCTTCCTCTCTCTCTGTCTATCACTTACACACACTGTCTCTCTTCCCCCCTCTATCTCTCTCTCTCTCTCTCTCTCTGTCCTTAACTGTTTACAACTCTTTGAGCTTTCGATTTGCTCTGTTCACAAAAAAATTCAAACAAACGAACAAAGCTGCCGCTTGCATTTACCGTTACATTGTTTGGCCATCAAACCGTAATGCGACTCAACTGGCCGCCACACACACACGCACACTCACTCTCTCTCTCTCTCTCTCACACACACACACAGTGTCCAGTGTGAATACATAAGCTCCTATGTATACCTGTCTATGTCTATGTATACGTGTGGCCCAAATCAATTGGCCAACTGCAAGCCAGCTATTCAGTTAAGCGCATTCGAGCCAACCTCAACCACAACCACTACCATTACTTATAACTACTACAACAACAACAACAACTACTACTAACTACAACTACTACAACTACCATATGCCCAACATACCTAACAACTACTTAGTTTTGCTTAACCAAGTGCTCCATTAACCTAACGTTTGACTAATGACTCTTCTTGTTATTGTATCTTCTGTCTTAAACTTTTCTTTCACTGCCCACACACACACACACACACATGAAACACACACGTACGACACGTAACTACAATTTTGACACGATCTACGATCGACCCACTACAACAAACACACTGAACGATCAACGAATACAAACAAAAATACCAAAAAATACCAAAAAAATACCAAAATAAAAACACCATCCAACCGCTCAACTCTGCCGTCCACAAATGCGTTTCGTGCCGCTTCTGAATGCAATTCAATTCAAAACGTATCGTTTATCGATGCTCGATCGATCTATCTCGATCTATCAATCTGTCGATCTGTCGATCTGTCGATCTGTCGATCTATCGATCCATCGATCCATCGATTGCCATTGCATCTTGCGCATACGCTAAACGAGCAGATGTCTACCTCAGCCGGTTGGGATGGTGTACTCGACGCCATTATCAATGAGGAAGCATGCGATCCACCCGACAACGACAAAGGCTATCCGGGCAATTGTGGTTCAGCGACCGTTGGAATAACGTTTCTCCTCTCATATCTAGTTATAAGCTTTTTGATAGTTATTAATATGTACATTGCTGTCATTCTTGAGAACTATAGTCAGGCCACCGAAGACGTGCAGGAGGGTCTAACCGACGACGACTACGATATGTACTATGAGATCTGGCAGCAGTTCGATCCGGAGGGTACACAGTATATACGCTACGATCAGCTTTCAGAGTTCTTAGACGTCCTCGAGCCGCCGCTGCAGATCCACAAGCCGAACAAGTACAAAATCATATCGATGGACATACCCATCTGTCGCGGTGATCTCATGTACTGCGTGGACATACTCGACGCCCTCACCAAAGACTTTTTCGCGCGCAAAGGCAATCCGATCGAGGAGACGGGCGAAATTGGCGAAATTGCGGCACGACCCGACACCGAAGGCTACGAGCCGGTCTCCTCCACGCTGTGGCGCCAGCGCGAGGAGTATTGCGCCCGCCTCATTCAGCACGCATGGCGCAAGCACAAAACGCGCGCCGAAAGCGGCGGCGGCGGCAGCGATCCAGAGGCCAATGGCGATGGCGATGCTGATGCCGATGGCATTGCCGATGCCAGCCATGATCCAGCTGATCCCGATGCCGCAGCCGATGCCCATGCAGATGCCGCCGACGACAATGGCGCTGATGGCACGGCTGACACTGATGATCCCGATGCGGCCGGCGCCAATGGCGGTCATGATCTAGCAGACGCTGATGTAAATAGTCCGAACGATGGCAATGGAAGCGGCAGTCCCGGTGGCCAGAGCGCCGGCAGCGGCGGCAGCGCCGGCCGCCAAACGGCCGTACTTGTTGAGAGCGATGGCTTCGTGACAAAAAACGGCCACAAGGTTGTAATACACTCGCGCTCGCCGAGCATAACATCGCGCACGGCAGATGTCTGAGCCAGGCCTCGCCCCCCCCTCCAAGACGCACGCGACTATTGAGAGCAGCGGCAGCGGCAGCTGGCGACAGCAACAACACTCTAAGTGCCAGCTGCAGCAGCTACAACAACAGCAACAGCAGCAGCAGCAGCAGCAGCAGCAACAGCAGCAACAACAGTGAGCAAACAGGTACAGCAACAACAACAGCGAAACAAGCATAATTTTCTGCTATAGATTAACAACAACAACAACAACAATGGGAAAACATACAAATTGTAATAAAGTACAACAACAGCAACAACAACAACAAACAACAACAACAACAAACAACGACAGCAGCAAGTGTCTAAAAATTTAAGTTAACTCAGTTTCAAATATGATACAAATGAAAAAGCACAACACCAACAACAAACAAACAACAACAAACAAACAACAATCATACTTAAGCTAAAGAGAAATGTTGAGCATATTAAGAAAATATTTTAAATTTGTAAGCAGGCTCGTAGTTACCTTCAAAGCACACACACACACAACATACAACATACAACATGCAACATGCAACATGCAACATGCAACAACAACAATTCACAATTGGCCTACCTGAAGAATTAAGCCTAAATGTTCTATTTATATACGAATCAAACATGAATCCATTTCCTACGAAATCGAGTACGAGTACAATCTAGCAAACAGCCAATACAACACCAACAACACCAACAACAACAACAACAACAACAAACAAACACACAATAAATGAAATAAACAAATTAATAAATAAAAAAAAACTGAATTCGATTCTTCAAATTCTAAATCTACATTCTAAAACAAATGAAGCCTTAAATATTTTAATTTGCATAAAAAATAAATTAAAATAAAAGAAAACAAAAAACAAAAAATAAATCACATAATCAAATATAGGATATATATATACAACAAATGTAAAATAACTAAAAAAATAAAGTAAACAAAAAAAAACAGTGCAAAATGAAAACTAAATAACAACAAATGCATAAACTCCACACACACACACACACACACACGCACACATATGCATACAAATAAATGAAGAAGAAGAAACTGATTCGAAAACACCAATTGCATGGATTAAATAGTATTTTGTATTGTATATTTAAAAGAAGTTTATAAAAAACATCTTGAAAACAAAAAAACCGTCTGAACTGCCATCAAAAGCAATACAAACTAAGAATTGAAGAAACACACTCACACACACACACACACGCACTCACACACACACACACAGGCACACACATACATATGTACTGGTATAAATCTACATTGGAACCATTGAGCAATGCTGTAGCGCGAGCATTCAATGTTTATGCCATGAATTTCGTGTTCTCATTCAATTTGACTAAGCGCAGCAAAATTTGCAACGGAAACATATTTAAAAGCAACAAGTTTAAAGCATACACAGACAACACACACACACACACAGTGCCAGACACAACTGTAATTCACTAAGACACACACACAGCAGTCAGATGCTCATCACTGAGCGCTTCAGCTGTGCTGCGGCAACTGTGCTTCACTAACACACACACACATACACACACACGACTATACCGTGAGACATTGTCATTGGAGTTGGGGCGCATTGAGCTAAACGAATATGGAACCAAAAATACCACACATAACTAACTAAACGAAACGGCTAAGGAAATGAAAAACGAAGCAGCAGCAGAAAGAGAACAAAAAGTAAACATTAACCTGAACATTCAACTTGGTAGAAACTTAAACAACAACAAAAACTGTGCCGCAAGTGTGAAAGACTAAAAAAACGAACAAGAAGTGGAAGAAGAAAACTGTGAAGAACTTAAAGAAAACAAACAAAGTGAACATAAAATGAATAGAAAAAGAAACAAACCTCAAACTATAAAAGAAAACGAAAAGAAAAAGAAAAAGCGAGCAAAGCACACACACAGCAAGAAAGAAGCAGCAGACAAAAGAGAAAAGCAAACAAAGTACAAACAATGTGCATATGTGTGCGTGTGTGTGTGTGTGTGTGAGTGAGTGAGTGAGTGTGTGAGTGTGTGAGTGTGAGTATGAGTAGAAAAGGAGCACAAAGAGTGTACAATAAGAGTAAAGTTTTATTTGTTGAATGATGATGTTGACGATGATGAAGATGATGGTGGTAATGATGATGATGATCATGTGCTCTGCTTTAGAGTCATTCAGCTTTAACAATACATAACTCTAGCAGCAGCAACAATAACAAAGCAGCAAGAAATTCGACGAATGCGAAAGAAGAAAACAAAAACTTAATTGAGAAGAAAAACGAAACTAAAGAGAAAAAGGAGCGAGAAAAATAATAAAAAATATCTAAAAAATTATATATATATACGAAGAAAAGAAAATATATATATATAAATTTATTAAGTCTATAAATAGCAAATACAATTAAAAAAAAAAAACAAGAAAAAAAACAAAAACAAAAGCAGATTTAAAGCTTGAAAGCAAAAGAAAAAAGAAAAAGAAAATTAAAAAAATATATATTGCCTACTTTTCAGCTGGAGTTAGCATTTCGCATTTCGCATTCGCCTACTGCGTTCTATTCCGTTTCGTTTCGTTTCGTTTCAGTTGGCTTCGTATCGCTTCGTTCAAAGCTTAGCTCTGTAATCTGTACGAAATTGCATTTTGTTGACATGTATATATATATTTATATATATATATATGTTTTGTTCAGATTTTCATTTCGATCTTTTCACTTTTTGATTAGCAAAAGCGATTTAATTATAGTTAGAACGCAACTAGCTAAGGATTAACTAAATACTAATTGACAACTAACTTGATAACTATCTATATAACAACAACCACAATGGGAGGTTCCATTGCGCACTAACACACATGCAAATTCACACACACACACACACACACACACACTTGCTTTGCTATTGCTTCAAAATTGGACTAGAAATTGAAAATGTAAATTGCATTTTTACATTAGACACACGAGTCTGTATGAAACATGCTCTCAGTCTATCGCACACACACACACTCACACACATGTGCTTTAAACACACTGCCTTGCTCTACATATATATGAAATACGAACTCTGTGTAGAAATTGTTCACATTTACAGCATACATAAGTACATATGTATGTACATCAACACCCCCCACACACACACATACACACACACGTACACATACACACACACGTACACATACACATACTCGTACACACTTGCATACCATATCGAAATTGTATAACAACAACTTTTTGAGTACCAATTTAGCAACAATTTTCAACGCAAACCGAACCAAAAGCGAAAAAAAAACATCAGCATTGAGCTCCCAATAGTCTTTTATGCTTACTGCAAGACATTTTTGCTTTATAATTTTAAGTTTTTTTATTTTTTGGTAGTTTTGATTGTCATTGGCTTAGCTTTCGGCAGCTTGGCTTCTTTTTCGAACTCGAATTGGACTTGCAACGGCGTATAACAGTTGCAGCTGCAGTCGCACTTTGTGGCTCTGGCCGAACGAATTGGAGTAACAAATCACAGCTATAATATTATATGGGGACCAGTTTAAGCGTTGCCTTTGTAAAACAAACTTTAAAAGAAAAAAAACAACAACAACAAAAAGCAAAACAACAACAGAATCAAACGCAGCCAAGTCCAAGTATTTTAACATTTATCGATTGCTTTGGTTATCGAAGTTGATTGGTTCGGAATCGACTGATTCCAGCCGCTGCTCGATCTTTCGTCGTCCACTTCGTTTCTCCCAGCTGCCAAGCGCCTTTTGATTTATACTCCTGCCACCTAACGGGGCCTTGACTTATTCCCAATTGCCGTTATTCGACTAACCAACGCTTGCCAATTGCCAATTGCCAATTTGACTAGCTTCATGACTATCAACATTTTGTTGGCTGTTTGACAAATAATACAACAACAACAAGAACAACAAAAGCAAATCCACGAGGAATATAAAATCCATTTAATAATTATTATAAAAGAGGAACGAACACATGCTACAAAAAATTAACCGAAAATGCTACTAAAAAACATAAATAACAGAAAATTAAGTTTGAAATTCCGTACAAAATGCATAAGTTTAACAAAAACAAAAAAAAAGACAATATATATATATATATCAATATGTATATATATATACTGAGTGCACTGTTATAAATGAGGGGCGGGGCGAGATTAAATAAAAAACAAAAGCGAAAAAAAAAACAAAAACTGAATAAAAACAAGAATTTTATTCCACACGAAGGCGTCTATCAAGAGCGTACGAAAAACAAAAGCAAAAACAAAAACAAACTATGAAACAATTAAAGCTTACGCGATTTAAGAACAACAAAAATGCGACTAAATACTAAAAAGTTGAACAAAATCAAATCAAATAAAATAAAAGTAATAAAAATGAAAAAAAAAAATAAAAGAAATTTGTACAATTGAAATAATTGAATCATGAATAATAAACTTAAGTACTTAATGAATACAAATAAATTAATAATCGAATAAACAACCAAAAAATATATTTCATATTTTAGCATAAATATTTTTTGTGCCGAGGTTACGTTCGAAGCAACACGCGCATCATTGCCATTAGACAGAATAAAGTTATATACACACACACATATATATACACATATATATATATACATATATATATATATATATATATATATATATATATATATATATATATATACATATATATATATACATATATACATATATATATATATATATATATATATATATATATATATATATATATATATATATATATATATATACATAAATGAATATGCCTATTTATAAACCAAATTACATATTGCATATTTTGTGCTGCTGAATGAGGTCACAACGCAACAAAACAAAATAAAAAACACAAAATAATAATAATAATATTCGAATTAACTTAGAGAGAGAGCAATAAATGTCGGACGCATTGACATTTGCATGTAAGCATGACTAACAGTTTGCGCCAGCTCTGTGCACTTGCTAACTGTGTGTGCGCGCCTGCATGACACAGGCTCACTGGCACAACACTTGGCCACAGGCAACGGCCAACTGCCGCACACTGCTGGCCCAAATTATGTGCAATTCTACAGCAAGGCAAACAAAAATACAAAAAAAAAATTCAGAAAAAACCAAAAAAAAATAAAAAAAAATATATAAAAAAAACAACAAGAACAACAAAGAAACCCAGAAACCAAGAAACTTTTTTTTAGGTACACTTAAATCAAAGCGTGGAATATTATATTAGTTAATTAAAAAATAAATGCTTTTTTGTCAAATCACTATAGAAAAATTAAATGAAGAACAACTTTAGCTTTATACTCGTACATTTACATTTGTAATATATTACATAAGTCTAGTTAATTACATAAAATACAAATAAAACAACAATATAAGAATGAAAATCAAACGAAGCATAGCAAATTAATTCAAAGGAAATAAAAAAATAATAAAAACAAAAAAAAACAGAAATGTAAAAAAAAAATAAGAAACATTTATGTGTAATGCAGCCAGTTAATATGCATAGCTAAAAACAAATAATGAAACTAAAGTCAACTAAATTAAAAGGAAAACAAAAACTGCAATTAGATATTCAATATATAAAATTTTTACATTTCTTCATCAAATTTTTTGTTGTTAAATTTGTATAATTGTTATTTAGTTTAATTGAAATATACTTTTTGTTGCACACACACACATACACACACTGACAGACACACGATTGCCAGCAGCCATTTGCCCAATTGCCAAGCTTTTTTAAGTACAGTTGAGTCAAAAACAACTAAAGCTATAAAGAAAAACCAAACCAAAACAAAACAAAACACTCAATTATGAAAGTTGCCATCCAGCGAAATATTTGCAATTTACACACACCCACACACACACACACACACTTTCATCAATACAAAAAAAAAACAGACTGAAAAAGATACTAAACAAAATGTTTAAAATTTATATGCAAAAATATATATATAAAAAAGCATAAGAAGAAGACGAAGCAGATATAAAACAAAATTGCAACAAGCGAGAATGCAACAAGCTGCTAACACATACATAGACCTACCCACACCCACACACACAGTTACCTAGCAGCAACAGCAGCAGCAGCAGCAATGGAAAGTTTATTACAAATAATAATAAAAAGAATTAATAAATAGCGCCACAAAAAAAAGAAGCTTGTATAGAAATAACAAATGGAAAAAACAAAAAACAAAAAAAATTATATATATATATATATATATAGTATATATATATGTATATGAGATAAACGAAAAACAATAAGAAAAATGTATTTATATTTATACACTGCAAGCAAAAAAGAGTAACTTAAATATATATATATATGTGTGTATATGTATACATACATACATACATGCATGTAACAAATTCTTTTCTGAACACCAAAAATAAAGAAGAAGCAGAAGAGAAGAGAGTTAGCTACAGGCACCGTTAGCATATTTTTTTTATATACAATTTAAGCAAAAAGTAAATGAAGTAAATAAATTATTAGTGAGAAACAACTGAACGTCTTTGTAAAGACTTTATATATGCCTGCCATATGCCTACATCTGCCTACAGCTGTCTGACTCTACTGGAACACACAACTTATGTTCACTCTCTCTCACTCTATCTCACACTATCTCTCTTTCTCTCTCTCTCTCTATCTATCTCTCTCTCTCTTTCGCTTGAGCAGACACACACAAAAACAAAGAGAGAGATACGCCTGCGGTTACAATACTCAATTGAAGGGCATATTAGGATAAAACGTTTTGAGAAGCGTATAGAGAGGTCGCCAGCATGCATAGCCTATGCTTAGCATGGTTCTATAGCAACAAGGAGAGAATCACAGCACATAATTGTGAAACATGCTAGGATATAATTTTTTGAGAAGCGCATAGAGAGGTCGCCAGCATGGCTCTAGAGCAACAGAGGGAGATGAGACAGCTGCCAAAGATAAAACGCTTTGAGAAGCGCATAGAAACGTCGTCAGTATGCGCATAGCCTTTGTTTAGCTTTGCTCTAGTCTAGTTCAAGCTTTCAAGCATTCATATCGAGACAGCCTTAGACCTTCCACATTTCCACAGCGCAGTTTTTGAGCAACTCTATTTGATAGCAACTTCCCCGGCTACAAATTATTAGTGGTTCAGATGACTGTACAAGCCCAACCAGAACAACAGACAACAGACAACAGACAACAACAGCAGAAATTGTTATACTGTATAATATACACATATTTTGTTATATATATAACTATATATATATACATATATATATATAAATATATATATATATATATATATATGTATTTGTGCAACAACAAAAAACAGAAGAATAACAAGAAGAAGAAGCAGAAGCAGAAGCCGAAGCAGCAGCTAAATGTATGACACCCGCCACTTTTCTACTTAACAAATCGACTGTATATATAAGATAATATGTATGAGTATATATATTTATGTAGCAGTATAACAGTTTGTATTGTGCATTTGCTTAAAGACAACGCCAACACCAACACACACACACACACAGACACACCCGACTTGTATATATAGGTCGAAGCATTTTCTAGTAGATATTTTCCTTTTGATTTGTTATTCTCATCTCGCCATTAACTTCTATTAGCAATATTATAATAAAGGCAAAACTAAGAGCTGTCATGCATCTAAATGTTTTCGCAATATCGAGAATGTTACGCGTAATTATAAAAAAAAATTTAATACAAAATACGAATTAAAACATAAAAAACAAAAAACTATTGTTATCAATTTTTTTTTAATACTCGTAACTAAAAATAGAAAAAGAAGAAGAGAATCATTAAGTTTGAGCGCCATTTTTTATAATACAACTGGAAGTATATATATATATATATATATATATATATATATATACATATATATATAATGTATATATATATGTTTACATATGTATATATATACATATATATATATATATATATCCATATATATATATATATATATATAAAAAATTAAAAAAATAAATGCAGTGCGACAACAATTTTGTATGTATTAATTTTATTAATAAAAAATACACACACACAAACACAAACACACCCACACACACACATACACACTCACAAACATAAATTGTTTTTATAAAAGTATATATATACATATATATATATATATATATATATATATATATTAGATATATTATATAAAAGAAAACAGAAAATACAAATACAACTTTAATAAATGTATTTAAAAATGCAGAAGTAAAAAAATAAATGAATAAAAACAAAAAAAATAAGATACAAAAAATGCCTGAATTAGTTTGTTACGCAAACAAAAAATTATAATTAACTAACTTCAATGTAAAACAACAAAAAATACCCAATAATTAAAAAAAACAGCAACAAACTGCACAATAACATCTTAATGTAAAAATATAAATTAATTATAAATCGCAAAGCAAAAACAAAAATTTAATATTAAACCAGAAATGCGCTAAGAAAAAAAAAGCCGAAGTGAATCATTTTTAATTTCATTATATATAAATAATTAATGCTTTTTTAGTTCTCAGCAAGTTGCATAATTTACATTAATGTATAATTTAAAAAAAAAAAAACAAAACATTTATAATTATAATACGAATCCAAACTTTAATAAAATGGGCATACAACAAATATTGTAATGTAATAAAAACAAAAACAAAAAATAAGAAACAAAACAAAAAAACGAAAAACAAAATAATATATTAAATTAAAAGCGAAATTTTTTCACACTTTAGCTTAATAAATTGTAAAAAAAAAATACAAAAAAAGAACAAAAACTGAAATAAAATGAGATTTAATTGAATTTGTTATGCAAATGAAAAAAAAAAATATACAAAATGTTTTCTAATTGACTGCAGCTTCAAAGCTCTCCAACTGTTATACAGTAGCACAGTTGCTATTTTATAGTCAATCACTATAGAAAATCTAGCTCAGTGCATGCCACACTCTTATCACTTCCCTTCCAGTCAGGCAGGGTACTTCCGTCCGTCTGCTAGAGTCAAATGTGTCGTGTTCACTCAGGCTAAGACCCTTAATATTCACAAGGCACAACCAAGGCAAAGTTGCCTCGCAGGACATCACTGCTGATGCATGACTCAAGGACGCTCAAGGACTTCCGGCTAGAGCATTGATGAGCCTCATCCGATACGACCTAGACCCAAGGACTTCAACATCCATTGCGCAGACACAGAGATCTGCAACCAGCTACGATTGAAGAGCGCACAAGACCAATCGAAAAGTCACTTGTAAGCGGATCATATATATAGTAAAACTATGTTAAATAAACACAAGCACTTAATGAAATCAATTTACTTGAATTTTTAATGGCTATAACTCGGTTACATCTTGATCAGTTCAGGTCAGATCAAAATGTTATGAGTGGCACAGTCGCTGCTCATTGCCTGGCTTATCAGGATAAAAATCCCACTCTCCTTTCCACTTGACTTTCACTCATGCTGCGCTCCTTTCCACTAGTCTCTTCGCCATTTGAATTTTTCTCCTCTTGTCTTCCACATCCTCCTGACATCCTCTCCTCCCGCACTGCTCCTGAACGTCTCAGCTGCTAGCTTTATCACCTTCTGATCTCCTAGCTTCCTGACGGTTTCTCTTTCTCCTCTCCTCCTCCTATTTTCGTCTTATTCAAAGACCAATTAAAAAGCTATATTCCATATATTGTTTATAGTTAAATATTTATTTCCGGTATTCTATGTTTATAAACTTTTTTCGCTGTCGTTTCATCGAGCTGCTTTTAAGGCGCTTCAAGGACAGGCGACGGGACAGCTCGCTGAGTGCCCAACGGATTGGCATGATATATATATAAATATATATATCTAACATATTACATATTTACAAGTGCGCTTGTATGTGTGTACGTGTGTGTGTGTGTGTTACAAAAAGGTTATACAAACATAAGTGTGGATCTGTAGTGACAAATACGAGTAGAGCGCCCGTGACTCCATTCGCTAGCCTAGTTGAATTGCACGTTTTAATATACAACTATTCAATTTGATATGAATTAAAGATTAGACACAAAAATAGTTAAACATAATGATAAAGTCAATCACACGCGGAACACACAATTCCAAATGGTTCTACAACAATCAAGTGTCGCTGAGAATATCCTTCAATATTGAGCTGGAGTTGCGGCTGGGCGCGAATTCGCTGCTGCTCATCAGGAGCGACTGCATCGGGGGCAATACCGTTATGGGGGGCGTGGCGTGCTCTATACTTGTCGTCGGCGTTGCGATGGCCGTTGCTGCCTGTGCTGCTGTTGCTGCAGCTGCAGCTGCGACATCTGCGCAGCCGTCGCCAACGGCTTCAGTTGCCTCCGCTTGCTTAGCCATGCTGAGCAGATTGGGTCGCGCCTGCGCCGTCGACTGCGGCTGGGATTCCTGTTCCAGAAACTGGACAAAGGCCTGCACCAAATTATCATTGCCTGCAGCAAGTAAATAAATAATTAGAGCCATTCCAGCTTGAACTTTAAGAACACATTTCAGATTTACCTGTGCTGGCGTTAGAGGGGCCGCCGCCGCCACCGCCGAGTATGTTGCCCAGCCAGCTGCTTTGGGGCTTGTTGAGCCCGACCTTGTCCGATTCCTGGGCATTGAAGTCGAGCAGGGACGATATCATGCGCAGCACCTGCTGCTTGTCGCCCGCATGTCCACTAACCACATAGCCGATCAGCAGGCTCTTGATGAGACTCTTGTCAATCTTGTCCGTTTGGCTGGACTCGCTGCTGTTCAGGCTCTGCTCCAGCTTCTGGTTGGCTTCCTTCAGGCTGTCCACTGTGCAAAGTATCGAAAAACAAATTCGCATTTATTATGTAACGGGACGAATCCAAACGCATTCTCGCTCTCTCTCTCTCTCTCTCTCTCTCAGATCTTGACTTATGTCTAAGGCTTACACAAAGACGCGCGCGCGTATTTTGGATTTTTGCTTAAGGCGTGGCATGCGGTTAGTGCGCACACTGCACGGCGTAGTATGACATAAGTACTGGTCGTTAGTTAAATGGCACACCAGTACCTGATGTAATACTCAACCGTACAGACGCTGATGCTGATGCGGATGCTGTTGCTGGAGATGCAGATGCAGATGCAGATGCAGATGCAGATGCGGCTGGCCGCCATTGCGACTGCGACTGCTACTGCGACTGCGACTGCGGCTTGTGGCTAAATTAAGCAGCTGCTGGGGTCTAAAGCTGGGGTCTGGTACGTCAGTCTGGACTCTACTCTAAAGGGGGCTGTGTTGCAATGCATTAGCTCAACTCAAACAACAACAACAATAATTATAATAGAAACAACAATAGCAAAAGGTCGAATCAGAAAACAAGAAATAAAGACAAGAACAACAATCGAGTACATAAATATATATTTATCTATCCATATACAAGAGAGATATATACGCATGTATGTATGTATATAGAAGAGGATATGTGGGCTATATATGCAAGCAAAACAAGAATCAGTTTAGTTTGTTTGTTTGTTTGTTTCTTTGTTACAAAATGTGGCATATGCTGCAGTCTCGAGCAATCTCCAATTGCAAAGTGAGTGCGTCAAATAGTTAAAAATCGCTCACATTTACAAATTGAGATTAATCAATGCTGCAGATAGGAGTTTGACATGGAATGCATAAATATAAATATATATATATATATATATATATATATATATATATATATATATATATATGTATATATATATATATATATATATATGTATATATGTATATAGATATATTTATATATATATATATTTATATATATATATATATATATATATATATATATATATATATATATATATATATATATATATTATATATATATTACTCTCCGATTTACGATGACGTATTATACGATTTACGATCAACTCTCTAAAAACTCAAATAAAAAAAAAACATTTAAACAATAAGGAAATATAGAATATACGCAAATCATAAATCATAAATCATAAATACAAAATTAAAACTATAAACAAATAATGGCATACATACAATATATAGTAGAGTTCACAGTTAAAGTATAATAACAATCATAATTGTAACAATAATAGTAATTTTAATAATAATAGGAACAGCAAGCAGGCAACAGCAAAATATAAATGAAACAACAAATCATAAGTTAGAACACCAAGTGGAAACTGTGCAGCAGATATATTTTCTATTATTAATTGTTTTTATTTTTATCAAGTGAAAAATAAAAACAAAATCTTTTTTTTTTTTTTTGTAAAATATTAATGAAAAAATTTAACATAATTTTTAAATATCTGCTATTTTACATTTAGCATTTAAATATTATTTTGTTTTTGTAAAGAAACATATTTTTTAATCTGCTTTATCAAAAAAAAAATTATTAAAAAAATATATTTATTTTTTATTTAAAAAAAAATGAAAAATGTTTAAATTTTTATTTTGTTTACAAAAAAAATTTAAGTATTTTAATTTTACTATTTTTTTAGATAAAAAAAGAAACATTTAATATATTTTTTTTATATATTTTACTACAAATAGAAACATTTCAAAACTATTTTTTCTTTGATTTTATATAAACAAAAAATAGTATTTTGGACTGTATATAATAAAAGAAAATATATTAAGATTACTTCAAAATTTTTTAATATATTATATTTTTTGCTTGACATTTTACTTTAAAATAGAAAAATTAAAACTTTTGGAATTTTTTTACTGTTAAAAAAAATTACTTTTTCTAATTTAATTTTTTTACTATTTTTTCTTATTTTTTTTTTTAAATTTTTTTTTAAATATTTTTTTAATGGTTTTTAATTTGTATATCCTTTGCACAGTGGTTCCTCTACAACTAAGCTATAAGCTACAAATCATAATTGAAATTGCCATATAAATGAATATAAAAAACATTTAGTTTACAACATAAAATGCAGCTAAATAATTCTGGAAATTTGTTGGCTTTTTTGGAGATATAACTGTGTCTGTGTGTGTTCGTGTGCAGCAGCAACAGAGGGAGATGGGGTTAATCTTGGTCTGGTGGTGGTGGCGGTGCTGTTGTTTGGTTAGTGCAAGCGGACGGACGTGGTTGGGTGCGGTGCGAGCGTAGAAGCTATTTGGAATATGAGGTCCGATTGGGTTTACCTGCCCTCTCTAAAGACCAACTTGGGTTTACAGCCAATATGCCAATTGCCACATGCCGTAGGTGCGATCTTGCGTGTCATTAATTTGTAATTTTTTTAAATTATGTTTTTTTTGTTTATTTTTTTAGGTTTTTTTTTTTTGCATTTTTGTTCAGATTCGTTTTTTGGTTTTTGCGCTTGGTGATAAAATGCAATTCAAAAAAGTATATACCAACTGAAATTCCGAGTGTTTCATATTGGGCATTGCTCCCAGAATTACCAGCTGATATTTACCTTTGAGAATCGGGTGAGGTGACAGCTTGTTCTCTCGCTCTTGCTCACACACTAACAGCCATACACATGCTCACTCGCTCACTCTCACTCACTCACTCACTCTCTCTCTCTCTCTCTCTCTCACACACACTCAACACTCACTCATTAGGAAAAAAAAACATTCAAATAGAACTTGGTGCGGGTGTATGCGTGAGTTCGATAAATAGATATATAACAGGTTATATAGTATATATATATATATAGTGGGGTCTGTGTGGATCGTGGGTTAAGAACATGCCGATATTAGAAGGCATTGCTGGGCAGTATTGGATAATCGCCTTTAAAGTGGATTTAATGCTGAATTGATGCGTTTTAGATACACGAAACGATTTGCCGACAGTTGTGGTTGGGGTGGTGTGGGTGTGGGTGTGGGGGTTAGTCAATAAACGTGAACATGCCGGATTCGAGTGCATGGACTCACCTTCGTCGCGCAGCACGGCGATGGCCTGCTGCCCAGCCTCCAGCTGATCGGACAGCCGCGATGCGGCGCGCAATCCCTGATTGGCCTCCGCCAGCTGCTGCTGCAGCGCATTGAGCTCCGCTTGCAGCAGCGCCTGCTGCTCCACCTGGGCCTGCAATTCGCGGCGCATCCTTTGCGTGGCCAGCGCAATGTCGTGCTCCTTGTCTGCGGCAACAAGAATGCCAAACTGTTAGCTTAACTCTAAACCGATTTGATAGCCGCTCACCATTCTGAAATTGCTCCAGCGCGCACTGCAGATTGGTTAGCGCCGCCTGCTGCCGCTGCTCGCGATCCTCGAACTGTCCGATCTTGCCGAGCAGCTCGTCCCGCTGCTGCAGCAGCAGCGCATGCTGCGCCTGCAGTGTCTCCGCCTGCTGATTGGCTCGAATGCTACAAACGCAAACGAAATGAAACTGTAAAACTTTGCCTCTTATCGCCGAGGCAAACGAAAGCTGCAATTTCGCTGCTCACTTATAATTGGCTTTTCGCTAAACGCGCCACAAAAACATCTGTCAGCTGTTATCGATAACAATCGAAATGGCAATGGCGCATTAGCGCGACAGCACACACTCTCACACACACACACACTCACACACACTTTAGTCATTAAGTGGCATACCGCATATCGAATGCAATTTGTATCAGGCAAAACACATATCGCGGGCCGCCGGCTGCTGGCGAATTCGCCACGCCGAGGCATGACTCGCCGCGCGCAAAATGGCGGCCGCTGTGAGTCACCCAACACAGAACTCACCTGGCTGACGTGTAGGCGGTGCTGGACTTGGACACCTCGCTCTGCAGGGCCGCATGCTTGGCGCGCGTCTCGTCCAGCTCGCGCTGCAGCTCGACGCTCTCCTGCGTGTGCAGCTCCTCGATCTCGACGAGATGGGCGCGCAGTCGCTCCAAGTCGCGCTGCACCGTCAACTGCTGCTCCTGGGCCTCGGCCTGCTGCTGCTGCAGCCGTCGCTGCTGGCTCTGCTCGGTCAGCAGATTTGTGGTGAGTATGTCGGACTTCTCCTTCAGGAAGCTGATTTGATCGCACAGCTTCTCGCGCTCCTTGATCAGATCGTGCAGCTGCTGCTCCTGCGGCTGCAAACGCTGTATTTCGGCATAGTATTGCGTGTTCTCCATGTGCTTCTGTTGCAGCGCCTTGATCAGCTCCTGCTTCTCACTGTTCAGTGCATCGATGGACTGCTGCAGCTGGGCGCCTTCCTTCGCTTGCAGCGCCTTCAGCTGCTCCAGTTCCTGCTCCATCTGCTGCACAGCGGCGCCATCTGTCGGCGTCTGCTGCAGTGCCTCCAACTTGGACTGCACAGCCAGCTGCTCTGCCTTCAGCTGATCGCGCTCCTCCGCCAATTGGCTCAGCTGCTGTTCGCGCGCCTCCAGCTCCGCCCTTTGTTGTTCTTGTTGCTCCGCCAGCTGGGATTGCAACTGCAGCTGCAACTGCTGCTGCTGCTGCAGCTGCGCTGTCTTCTCGTCCAGCTGGCCGCGTAGCTGCTCCAGCTCCACTTTGAGCTGCTCGCCCTGCCTGCTGCTCGTCTGCAGCTGCTCGCGCAAGTCCTCCAGCTGCTGCTCCGCGCTGTGCTCGGCCTCTGCCGTTAGCTGTTTCAGCTGGGCCTGCAGTTGCTCGGCTGCCTCTGTGCTCTGCCTCAATGCCTGCTGCTTGGACGTCAGCTGGGCTTGCAGCGTGCGGACTTCAGCTGTGGCTTCTTCATTCTCTTTCAACTTGAGCTCCAGCTGCTCGTCCTTGGCACGCAGTGACTGCCTGAGCTGCTGCAACTGCGTCAGTTGGGTCTGCTTGGCCAGCTGCACGTCGTGTAGCTCCTGGCGCAGCAGCTCCACATCCGGAATGTGCTCGGCAGAGCTGAGCTGCTCTAGTTCAGTCTGCTTGGCCGCCAGCTGCTGCTCCTGGCGCTGGAGCAGAATCTGTGCCTCGTCGAGCTGCAGCTCGAGCTGGGCTATGGTCTCCTCATGGTGCTCCTCGATGGTCTCCAGCTTGTTGCGCTTCACCTTGTCCATCTCGTTGAGCAGCGCCTCGTTGTTCTTCATCAGCTCGTCGCACTGCAGCACGTACTGCGAGATGTCGGCCTCGAGCGTCTTCTTGTCGTGCTCGGCGATGATCAGCTGCTTGCGCAGATCCATCAGGTCCCGCTCGGCCATGTCCAAGTGCTTGAGGCGATCGTTTAGCAGGTGGTAGGTGCGATCCAGGGTCTGTTTGGATTTGTCAGCGAGCAGCGCTTCGAGCAGCGAGCGCAACTGCGTTGAGCCGCTGTCAGCCAGGCTTAAGGCGTCCATGTCCAGGTCCAAGTCCAAGTCCAAGTCGGTGATCTCCTGCTTCTCCTCGGCTATGGCCTGGCGAAACTTGGCCTGGGCAATGCTGGAGTCTAGTTCCTGGCGCAGCTGGCGATTCTCGGCGCGCAGCGCGCCCAGCTGCTGTTCCAGATCATTGGCGTGCGTCTCCTGGTCCGCCTCGGCGTTCAGCTTCAGCTCCTGGTTCTGCATCATCAGCTGTTGCAGCTTGCGCTGTAGCTCCAGCTGCAGTTGCTCCTTTTCGCACTCGCTAATGCGCAGACGCGTCTCCAACTCGGTCAACTGACGCTCCAGCTGGGCGTCCTGCAGCTTGGCATTGATCGCCGTCACCTCGGCGAGGCGCGTCTCCAGGGCGAGCAGCTTGTGGCGCAGCTCCTCCCTAGATGGCAGCGTTGTGGCATCCACATCGACGTCGACATCAACATCGACGTCGACATCGGGATCTGGATCTGGATCCGAGCTAGAGCCGGTGGCATCTGTATTGCGTACAACTATAAACTCATCCTCGCTGTGCTTGCCCGTGGACGAGCTGTTGGACGACTCGGACGTCTTCTTCTCCTTGGACTGCTTCACCAGCTCGTCCAACTCGCGCTGCAGCTTCTCGCGCTCGGCATCGGCCTGACGTACGCGCTCAATCAGCTCACCATTGTCGGCGCCCCGTTTCTCCAGCAGCTGCTGCATCTCAGCCAGCTCCAGCATGCAGCGCTGCAGCTCCTTGCCCTGCTGCTCGACGCGCTGCTGCAGCTGCTCGCGGTCCAGCGCCACTGTCTGCTGTTGCTTCTGTTCATCGACCAGCTGTGCCTTCAGGCGCGCCATCTCCAGCTCGTGCGCCACCAGGCGATCGGCCTGCAGCTGCTTCAGCTCCAGCAGCTGCGCCTGCAGCTCGGTCTTCTGACTGAGCATATTCTGCATCGCCTGCTCATGCTGTGCATCGAGCATTTCCAGCGAGTTGCGCAGCTCGCCATTATCCTGCTCCAGATTCGCAATTATCGTGTTCAGTATGGACACATTCGGTGTGTCGGGCAGCGCAACCTCCACCATTCCAGCTTTCGATGAGCTTTGGGCTGCCGCTGCTGCTGCCGCTGCTGCTGCTGTGGCTTCCACGCCTGCCGGCTCCCAGCACCAACTGTCCTCCACATTTTGATCATCGCCGGATTGCTGCGCATGGAAGAGCAATGCATTTCGAGTTAGATTAAATCTTAGCTAAGCTTTATGCAGCTTTGTTCATAAAAATAGTAGTGCGACTCGGAAAAGCAAACTCGACAAAATTTCATTGCTCATAAAAATACTCGAACCACAAAAGTTTCTAAACAGTTCGACAAAAATATTAAAATTAATTAAAAAATTTTTTTTTTTTTTTTTGTGTTGCAAACTTTAGCTGCAACTTGGTTGTTCATAAAAATAGTAGTGGCTACTAAATAACGAAACGAAATAAAACCATTTAACATTAGTCTAACTTTTAGCGGTTTCATGCACAACTATATTGAGCGAACGCAACTGTACCTTGTTGTCAGCGTGGCACAGGTAAGCGCATGCGTTGCGCATGCGCCCCGTTGCCCGGCAGCGCGAACCCTTCGCACATGTTATCAGGTGGCAGAGCAGCGCATGATAATGACTGTCGAGTCGAGTGTGAGTCGTGAGCGACTATCAGACACAGAAGGGCTGTCGCTGACTACAACAGCAGTCGACGCGCTGGCAACAATAAATTGGCTATAAAAACCCATGACTGGCCGACGGGCGGACGGACGGACGGACGGACGGACGGACGGACGGAATGACAGACTACGACTGGTTGCTCACCTGCTAAAATGGCTGCCTCGTAAATGGGGGCAAATAGAAACTTAATTAAAATTAGCACAAACTGTAGCCAACAGAGTTTGCTGTCACAAGTGGGCGTGGCCAGGGCGTATGTAAAACGCATGGATCTCTTACGCATACCAGCCGAGCACGCAGCGCATACAGACAAATATCAGAGACACTTGTGCAAATTGGGTTATCTACATGCAGACACGGTAATGGCCATGTAATCAAGTGTGTGCGTGTGTGTGCCTGGGTGTGAAAACACTTGTGTTTCATAAACAAATATTAGTCAAATTATTCATCGCGACTCTATATGGCTACAGCGCTCGCACACGCACTCTATCTCCCTCACACACACACACACACACATGCAGGCGCTCTATAAAGCTGGCTATGAGCAACAGCAGCAGCAACAACAACAAGAGACAATCGATCATTTTGTGCGTCAGCTGAACATACCCAGAATTATGATATGATACGATATGATATGATATGATATATGTATGTCTGTCTGTATATATATATATACGTTTATCTATATATCTGCGTATTGTCGGCCAGGACTTAAGTCCATAGATAAGCATACAGCTATACACACGTTATATAGCATACGCAGACGAAATGCAAACACAGCGATACCTTCTCCAATAACAACAACAGCCAATTGTGGCAAGCTAATGAGCTAGAGGAAGCAGAGCCAGAGATTAGATAGTGGCAATGGCAGCGCAAACGCTGGAAATATACAGCTAAATAAGCAGCAACAGCGGGACTGCTGCCAGAGGCCAGCACTCAATGGGGCACGGCGAGCAGGTCGAGTGAGTGGGGTTGCTATGCCAGCAGCCGTAGCCAAGCCAGCAGCAAAGCAAAAATGTGCCGAATACGTGTAATCCAAGTAGAAGACACCGAGCAAGTCCCTGGATACGTAGCCGTATGTGGAGCTCATCAAATTCATGCTGAAGCAGCAAATGCAAAGCGTGCGAAAGACACCCTGTAAAGTGCTCTGGTCTTAGTACCAGCGAACGACTATTTAGGCGCTGCTAAGGATATAAAATATCCCAGCAACTTCCACTCGACATATCACATGAATACCCTGTAATTTTTTTATATATTTGCACTTTTTTTTATGGCTTACAGACCCGATTTAGCTAGTCTGCAGCTGCACAATAGTCAAGTACAAGCAAATGTATGGGGTATGCGCGACCTGAAGATACTCTAAGCTCTGCATGTTAAAGCTCTGAAAGTTATGCCTATGGATATTTAGAAAATCGTCAAAGTTATCAGAAAAATCTGCTCAACTCCCACAGCGCTCAGCATCTAGTAATATATAGCTCACATTTGAGGTCTTTAGCTTTCGTAGGACCTGAGTTAGAGCGCAGTTCGTCCATTTGAATGCGAACATGTGCCAGAATATTCACACACAAAAATACCAAAAACTCTATCAAATAATTCGATTAGCACAAAAATCTGTAAAAAAAAAATTGCAAATGTTTCTAAGAAAGTTGATAAAGCTAATGAAGGGGAACTATTTTTATGCGAATTTTTAGATATGAGTCTTACTGAACAAATTCAATAAAAAGCCAGCCACACATGCTCATAATCTGCCCCGAAGTCGTTGGAAATTTTCAACAAAATTCTGCAAAAATACAAATAATAATAAAAAAAAATATTGTAAAGAAACAAATTGAATTGTAGTCTAACGAAATATATTTAACGTGAAATCACTTCGCATTTTTATTGCATTCGTAATACGCATTGGCGCTGCCATCATCATCCATCTTATCTTATCGCGGCCCCATAACCGTGCTCAGGTCGGCATAAAGACTTTTCATATACTGGGCCTATATGGGCCGATTGTTTATAAATAATTAAGTAAATATATAAATATCGAAGCACTGCCTCATGGGCTAGCGAGGAACGGCGCTGGCATAAACAGCAATGAGACCCGAGGGAGTCGCTAAAGCCAAACACACACACTCACACACACACATGTACATGTATATTCAACTATATGGGTCTCTGATTGCCCGTCTGCGTTTGCTGCTTTGTTGGTGTTTGGTTCCATTCGCCTGAAACCGAGCAAAATTCGATTGCAAATTGTAAACACTGCCACGAATTTTCGCTGAACTGCAACTGCAAGGCCAGACTCGAAAACCGCAACAGGTGACAAACGTCTTACTGAAACACATATGCCACAGCTCGAGCGAAGTGCGGAAGCAGCTTGTGAAAATAGTTTGAAATATAAAGTCCGCTGCGAGAGATTCCAAAAACTGCTAGCCAGCTGAAATGCCGGTTAGTGCTTAGTGCTCGTGTAGGGTATCTAAATGTACAGTCATTGGAACAGGGAACACTTGTGAAACCTAAGCTCGAATACCTGTTAAAACTGCTAAGTATCTAATAGGTAGCTCAGCTGAATACCAGAGATCAGAGCCAAGCTCTGAAGCACACGTAAATGTAGGGTATCTAATATGCCACTCAGTTGAAAAGAACTTCGCCAGAACTAAGCAAAAGAAACGAACGTATTTTTACTGTTGTAAAGCTGCAATGGCTGCCTAATTACTATTACAGGGTATACAAAAATATGCATAATTTACATGTAGAATAGGCCCTTAAAAAATTAATTTAAGAGTAGCAAAAATATATGTAAAAAAATAAATAAAAAGAAATTTTAGAAAATACAACTTTTAAAAATACTAAATATACTAAAAATTTTAAAAATACTAAACATGATAAAGAAAAAGGAGCAACTGTAAAATGATATTTAAATTTTTTATTTTATAGCAAAAATACTATTTAAAAAATACTAAAAAATATATATTTTTTTAAATAAACTAAGCAATCATAAAAGGCCATTTTACAGGGTATTACAGGATATTAAGCTTATCAAATTTAAAAATGTATTTTTGTTTTAGCACAAATTGTGCTTAGATAAGCACAAAAATTAAAAATAAAAAAAAATGACTTAAGAAGTTTTTTCGAAATCTGAAGCAATTAAAAAATAAATTATGAGCGAGCATGACTTTTTCTTTTGTTAGCTTTGTCTGTCATATATATATGCATATGACATATAGATATATATATATATATATATATATATACTGCACATTACTATAGGAATGTGCACTTTGGCTCGCTCTTGCCAACGAAACTAACTCAAAAAAAGGTGACTTATCATTAAGTGGAATAATTTAGTGCATGCAGTTCAATATCCAACTAAGAAGAAGAAGAAAAAGACGACGCGGAACATAAAGTCGGGAATTACTTTGCTAGGCTAATAATATGAGAAGATGTCAAGAGAGACAAAAGTCGAAAGTCAAGGCGAAAATGACGATGAAATCTCGTCGTTGCTGACCAGACCAGACCAGACCAGAGCAGGCCAGGCCAGGCCAGACGACAATCAGCTTCAGTCATAATTAAGTACACGTACTCATTACACACCTCCATGTAAAGCTAATGAGCATTTTAAAATAATAACAACAACAGCAGCAGCAGCAGCAGCAAAATATATGAAACTTACATGTTTTTTCTTCTTCTTCGAGTGTCAGCCAAAAAAAAATTGCAATTCTTAATTTGGCAGCCGATTTAACGACTCAATCTCACAGTTTTTTTTATTAAAGTTCGACCAGCAAAAAAGCGGAAAACAAAAAAAAATAATAGAAAAACGTAACTAAATTATTGTAAAGTACATAGAACGGAAAAAAACCCGGTTAATTTTCACTTGGCAGGCACTTGAGACGCTAGCGACGTCGGCGTCGCATAGTGTTCGCGTTTTTTATATTATTATTTATTTCTTAAATTTTTTCTCTCATTTATTTTTGCTTAAACTTTAAACGTTTTGAGCGCGGACAACAGCAACAACAGTAAAAAAACACAATAAAAAAATACAACTGCAGCGAGTACAGCAATGGGGCAGCCAAATAAACGTAAATGAAATGAACTTCAAATTCGAATTGTTAGTTAGTTATAGTTGGCCGGCAACGACAGCGTTCACGTCTTGCCCGCAGCGCGACCGATCGACGAGTGAACGCAACGTGCATTGCGCTATGGGGGAAAATAGCGAAGCGCTGAGAGCCACAGTCGACGTCACAATTACAGCGACGATCACTCACACACACACACACACACGGTCGGCTGGCTCTGCATGTGTGCGTGTGTTCGTTAGTGTATGAGCGCGCAGTCGACTAGCGGCTCAATGGCAAATCCTGTCGGCCAACGTCAGCAGCCCAAACTGGAGCATTTTACATATATGTAAATGCTGTTGCCTGTGTGTACGTGCATGTATTTTGAGGGGACCAGTAAAATAGGGCCCAAAGCATAGATCATCTCTAGCTGATATATATATATAAATATAGTGTATAAAT